TGTATATATATGTGTGTGTGTGTGTAGCATTTCACATTCAATTTAAAATTAATTTGAAATTGATTAACATTACTTGCTGACTTTGATTATGCCCTACTTTGACAAAACAAAAAAATTTGATATTTTCAATTTGGAATTTTAAAAAAGAAAAAATAAAGGAAAGAGAAACAGAGAAAATACAGACAGAGGGGCGTATCACTACAGATCAACTATTCTATACTTCAAGTTGTCTAATAAAAGATGCTGTCATTGCCCTGTGGCTCTGTAGGTGGAGCAGTCATCTTCGATCAATCAGGTTATAGACTACATGCCAATGTGTGCTTGGGTAAACTCTGTAGTGGTTCTTGTTACCACTTTACATCTGTGATTTGAATTATAGAAAAATAATTCCGTTCATTTAAATTTCACACAGTGTTGTAAGGATATATTTTCATATCTTGGTGATTTTTTAGGATATATTTTCATATCTTGGTGATTTATTTTAAACATTTTCTTTGCTTCTTTTTTTTTTAAAGGTTTCCTGTTGAGACTTCATCACCTGACATTTGGATTATGACTGTCACCACCAACTTCTGTTTGTGATACTGGAGGATGATGTCATTATCTCACCACAGTGGACAAACTTAAAAATGTCTTGGTTTTCTCATGGACAGCAATGACAAACTGGCACAGAACAGTATCTTCTCCAGGAGAAATGGAGAGAGAAAGATGGAGGAGAGTAGGATTCTCTGAAGATGTTCCTGTACCAAACTACTTTACACAGCTGTGCAGAAAAACAATATGTTGCTTCTAATACACACACACACACACACACACACTACTTGAAGTTATTAAAAACTAGGATGAAAAATTATAAAGAAAATTATTTCAATTATTGTTTTTTTTGACTAGTTAGGGTAATTAGTTAAAATGTTTAGAGAATTTAAAATGTTAGTTTTCTACCTTTTATATTTATTTAGCCTAGAATTTATTCAATGCTTTTATTACTATGTACTGTGTATTTCCCTCATGTGAACTTTGTATTTTAATCATGTTGTTGACAATCTGTGACTGGATTACTTGAAATATGGAATATCTTTTCAGGAAAAACAAATCAACTAGTTACTGTCCAGTAGTTAAGTTAGTAGTCAATTAATTCCTCATCATTAATGTCATTTGTTCAAATAGATGTTGTTGATTAAAACAGATACAGTTTGTAGTTAATGTTTATACTTGATCTATGCAAATATGTCTCAGTGGTGCTAAGGTTTGCACTATTTGTATGTAGCATTTGCTGTCGTTTGCACATGTGAATAAACGGGTTTGTAGAAGAAGTGTTATGTTGTTTTACTAACACGCACTACATTATATGAGCAGAGGTGCAATGTGTTGGAGGACGTGTTAGAGAAAATGTGTGTTTTCATTGTATTGACATCTATGTATTTGATGTTAAATTTTGCCTTTTCTGTGATTTAATCACAATTTCCCATTTTGTTTATGAATTCATTTCCCTGACAATGGACACCATCACATACACCACAGGAAATGCATTTGATCAATGTGGAGAAATGGAAAACACAATTCACTAAGTGAATAATCGCATTATTTTGCACAGTGTGATGGACTGTCTCAGGAGTTGTTACAAATGTGTGATTTGCACAAGTTACTGTGTCTGTACTATGCAACTGTTTGCAGTGAAAATAATCAATAAAAGCATTGTTTACATGATTAGTGGGTTTTTTCTTCTTTAACTCTATGTGAATGATCATTTATTAGCTCAGGATCCAATTTGGAGAATGAAAGGAGATCACTGGTTGAATCTGCAGGATCCTCTCGTATGAAACTGTAGCTCATGAAGTGACATTTAAAACTGCTCGTCTCCTTTTACGTGATGTCTAATATAAGAGCCTATAAGACAAATTGGCACATGTGAGTGAACTGGAATAGATTAACCCATTTACAGGAGCTGGTGTTAGCTGAGCATTTCCAATTGTCATTTAGCGACTGGAGTATTAGGAACCTATTTAAATAGTTCCATATATAATTCATTAGTAACGTAAAAGGGGCTAAAAGAGAACGTGTGATCTGATCTGTTTTTGTCGACCATTTAAAATAGGAAACGTTAGCACTGATGCCACAACTGCTAACTCTGCTTCAAATCAGCAAAGAGAAAATAAATAAAACATTTAATATTAAAATAATTCATAATTAACTTGCAGAATAATTAGCAGAGAAAGACTAAGGTTAAAAAGTTTTAGCTACATGTGTTCCAGTGTTTATCAGTTTCCAGTCAACTTTGCACTTATTTTGGTTTTTAGCTTTTTGATTTTTTTTAGCAAAATCTGTAGTTATCACTTAGCCAGAAGCTATTGATTTCTGCTAACGTTTAGCTATCTCTCAAATTCATTTGGCAAAACTATATTTATTTTTGCTCGGTATTATCCTCATTATTAATTTGCATGGTTCAAAATGTTAACAATGGATGGCTTGGAATAAATTACACCACTATTCAAACACTATCATTTATTATAATGAATAAGTTAAAATGCAGTGTTTCTTTTATTTATTTTTTACTCTATCTTTAATGCATTAGAGAAGTATTTCACCATTCTATTCACATATTTTGGTCTTTTTTTATATTTGTTTCTGGCTTAAGTAACCAAAGTAATAGTACAGTAGGTGACTTTTAATAATGAATTGACTTTCATTCAAAGCTGAAGCTTGTTTAAACACTGAACACGATCACTGATCAATGTTTACATGCTCTGTGCACTAGACGGAAGAAATAACATCTGGATGTTGATGTCGAGACTGAGAACAAGGAAGAACGAACCAGTGAATCCAGCTGCTCCTCCTCAGTGCACAAACACTGGGTTAAAGGTTGCTCTGATAACAGCAGCTGAGCATTAGAAACATTAGAAACAGACGTAATCATGCTTTTACTTCACAGCTGATTAAATCAATATCTACTGGATTTTTTTTTTGGGTTAAATCACATTCAGTAATTTAAAAAAAGAATAAACTAATTAAAATTATATTCATGAACATATTCGTACATTTTAGCATTTTAATGACAGCCTACACATTAACATACAGTAGAACCCTACACCTCGTTGTTCATTTTGTCTTATGCAGTTGACTTTGTCATTTATTTATCTACACCTGTTCTACACTTGATGTTTGTTGAGATGCAATCTCTTCCAACAATGTAAAGGTTTGTTCCAGTGAAAGAAGGGAAGTCATAACCAAGGTAAATGCCAGTGTCAAAGGAACTACTGAGTGAAGAATTAAGCAATCTACAAACTTGTACTTTAGACAAAAATAATACCTTCTATTGCTATCGCATAGCAGTATAAAATGATCAGGTTTTGTGTTTAAGAATTAGCAGATCGCAGATTGACTCTCCAGTGCCATATGAGACCTAGACCCTGTGTCGCAGTCAGTGTGGCAGACCAGCCTCCAGACAGCAGGAAAGTTACGAGAGCCCTCCGATTGTAATGGAATCAATAACAAGACAAAAGCTCACGTCTGGGAGCAAAAATCGTGGGAAGTGCCGCCGAGGGCCTGATTAGCATTCTGTACCGCGGGTCCCCGTAGTCCGTCTCCCGGAGCCCCCCGACCCAGCAGTGAAGAATGGCTGCGCAGGAGGGGATGGGGGCAGAGATGGAGGAGAGGTTGTGGAGGGCCAGACGGGGGATACAGAAAGTCAGAGAAGACAGCATAAAAAAAGACAAGCACGGAGCAGGAGGTTAGAGGAGAGAGGGAGAGGCTGTCACTGCAGCACTGATGCAGTTTGGGGGAAACTATGTTCAAGTACAAATGGAAAAAAAAAATCCCTCTCTGCATGTTGAAGTGGTGCAATGTAAGAAAAACCGTATGAGAAATATGTTAAGGCTAAAACTCATGGTGACAAGAAATATGGGAAGAAGAAATTTAAAATAGTTGATGCTAACGGTTGGTAACAATAGTATTTTGTGGAATAAATAGTTTGGTACGGAATAATCAGATGTTTAAATCAGAAGTGGAATATTTTATAGTATTCCTATATTGATATATTATTTTTCTTTACATGGTATTAAAGGACAAAATTATTTTTTTCCAGCATTATACATGTAATACTTTTGCATTTGTATGTGTATTTCATCTTTCCAGGATATCATGTGATCAACCAAGTATTTCTACAGAGACACTGGCTTTTTTTATCATTGTGGATACGGAATATTAACTAACTCAAAAACACCTCCCTGTGTTTGTTCATTTTATAGGCGTTATCATCACATCACTCCATCCACGCTTCTCTGTATTTCAATCAGCGTCCAATTTTAAACACAAAACTGCAATTAAGCTGCTATGTGTTTTCTTCAGGATTAAAAATGTATATGTCAAATAAGTTTCACATTTATTGAAGCATTTATTTTGTACAAGAAGTCAGTGAACAGTGATGTATGTGACGTAGCCTTCACACTGTGCTGCTCACAGACCCACATTGTGGGTAAAAAGCCATGAAAAGCTCAATAAATAAATAAGACCTTCAATCTGTTGGAGGTCAGAAAGTGACATGAAGAGGTCTGACCTCAGGGCCGATGGACAATGGTCACTTCCTCCCTTAAGTCACCTCTTGTCTACACATAATTGACTACTTTATGTATATGTATGTGTGTGTGTGTGTGTGTTGCTGTGGGTGGTGGCTCCCTTGAGTGACCCTTTTTCAATAGCCGTTAAAAATCCACAAGTTGTTTGACCCCTGACCCCTGTGGTTGTCCTTCGGTGCCTGTGCAGATCTCATGGACTTGTGTCCAAAGGACACCTGTGACTTCCTGCTGCTCAGTTTTCACACTGACACTCCCTCCTAATCTCACACTGGTGGTTCTTTTACAGAAGTGACCAGTCGTGGTCAGAGGTTTCATGAGACCTGTGACCACAGAGGAAGAGATTAAGGTTTCTTAGCCTCCCTGTAAAATTTGTCTCTGGGTCGTTTAAGTTTTTTTTAACTATTTGAAAAATAGGTCTGTAGGCTATCCTTTAGTTTACCTTTGACTTATTTCAAGCCGTTTTAGTCGACTTTTAACATGCCTTTTTAATAATTCTCTGGGAAATTCTAGTACTTTGGTGAAATACATTTTAAGAATTTTTTTTGGGCCAAGGTTAAGCTACTCCTGTAATTCATTTTGGGTTAATGAAATAAGCTTTTATGATAATGTTTAGAGTTGACTAGATTAGGCTTTTCTTCTCTATTATATATATAATATTTCACCTCATTTTAGATACCGATAATCTACGTCTATGTAAGGTTTTCCATATTTTTGATAGGAATCTGTTACCACTTAACAGTTTGGACTTTTCACTCCTTTAAAGATGTAACTGTTCATTAACCATTGAGGTCATTTCTCCTTTATGATCCGAGGGCAGTTTTGGACAGATGAAATCGGTGATTTAAGAAATGTGAAATGTCAGTTCCTAAACTAGAGAATTGGGGTCAGGGCTGGATAAAGAGGTTGTTGACCTCTGGATTTGGGGAGTCTAACCTCTTGCTCTCTCTTTTGATGAGCACTCAAAGGTTGTGACTCAGTCAGGAGGGGTCAAGGGGAAGTCCCCCACGGATGTCCAGACAAGTGTGTCGTCCATCCCTGGTGGGCTATGAAAATTCACTTTTGCACAGACACAAACCTAAATGTAAAGTTATGCAAATATGCATAGACTGCTGCAAAAACACCAGACTCTCATCACAGGTTTAAACATTTTTTGCCTTTTTCTCCCATTATCACATAGCCTTCAGCTTTTAACTGTGTGGCAGAGATCATACATGGGAATCGTCTGCTCACAAATGGCCATTGTCTCAGATTTCTTGCCCTGTCAAAGTCACCCACTTGCTGATTTCCCACAAAACCCCTCTAGTCAACTGCCGTTGAGAGTTTTTGTGAATTATCCCTGAACTTTTTTTTTCCTCAGACCATTGATGGAGGGGCACCAACTCGAGGGGAAAACAATATCTCATAGATTGTAGAATAAATCGGATCTATCCAGACGAAGACACACGCACAAAACATGGGTAGAAATCAGCCGTGAGTGTGTCATGGCACGCTGGAGGGTCTGACTTCTTAATTAGATGAATAAAAAGGCTGGGTCAGATGGAGCAGACAGCCAAAGAAAGGCAGTCGAGATGAGACCCTTCACACTGTCTGCGTCACACTGTGGGTGTGTGTGTGTCTGGACAGTGCTGTGAGAAAGTGTGTGTTGTGTTGTTTGCATGTCTGAGTCCTGGCTGAGCAGGTCTTAACCGGAATGATGCTTCTGGATTATTAAATTAACCTATATAAGTCAAATGTCAATATGCTTTAAGTATAAGAACCATAATCTTAATATAGTTTAGTAGTTAAATTATTCAAGCTTTTATTTTTTTAATTATTCCAATTTATGTCCTGTAAAAGGTTTGTTGTTAATTAATTATTGTTTTTATATGTTTCATTTTTGTTTTTGTCAAAAACTGTTTTTTAATTATCTCCTCACTGAATGTTAATTTGCACTGTTAATCTATGCGTGTATTTTTTAAATTCCCCCGACTCCCACAGTGGCTCGGTGCCTCAAACACGTTTCCAGTATGAAAGAAGGAAAGAATTTGTCTCTCAATAAGTCATTAAGGGTGAAAACAAGTCAGAAGCACTTGTAATAATCACTTATTCTTACTCACTCATTGTCGCCTGTGAGCAGACGTGCTGCAGTGAAGGAGGGCTCGAGTCTGTGGGCTGAGAACCGTGCGAGGAACGTTCCATCCCAGCTGCAGCTGTTTGTTGTCTGTGACACACACAGAGAAGGTCAGAGGTCTAATAAGTTCACAAGAACTCAGGGCTTTCACATGTTAATGATTGGGAGCTGCACTACAAAAAACATAAAAACACGGGTTGTCAGGACGTCGTTTGTTTAAATGCATCACAATTTTTAAAGTGAAAAATTATATTGCTTACGTTATAAAAAATATATTTCACAGGAGCAAACAACAGAGACAAAAACATGATCTTAGATACTTTATCTGTTCTTTTAGTTTTTCTTCCCAAAAAGAACTACAGTATGGTCCCCCACATATATCTAGTACTTTAGAAGTAAAGTGTTTCTCTCACTTCTCCATCTCAGAGAAGGTATTTTATAGATGACATTACCCTGCTCTAAGAAATAGTTCACTTTAGCTCCACTTCTACTGGCAACGGTATAACGATTACAAATGAAGTGAAAACAGCTTCGAGCATCTATTTATAAAAAGGTAGTTTACAATTCTCTTATCCTCAATCACTGTAGGGACAAAACTCTCACATCCTCACCTTTACTTGGATTTTATTCCTTAAGTCTTGTCTCAATGATCTCACAAGATCTATGCAGTAATTTCTAATCACACAGAGCTGACACAGTGGTCAGAGGTGATGAAAAATGTTCTACCTAAATGTTCCTCCCAGAAACACGCAGGCATATAGACCAGCAGTGTCTGGAATCAAACCTCTGACGTTTCAGCTGACCTTCATTAATCTCAAATGAAACACATATTTAACACAATGTAATCCAAATAATGTGGGGGGAAAAGACTATTGCTAAAAGAAATGTAACTCTGTACATTAACAACTAAAATGTATTAAATGTGTAACACCAATAATTGTATTATATTTGTTTACATCACTATAAATAGGCAGATATTTATTATTATATAAAAACACACACAGAACATTAAGACTGTCATCCTCATCCTACAAGTTTATGTCACAGAAGGTTAAAGCTTCATATCACCTTCATAAAGCAGGTAATTCCAGCCATCGTTTTAACAGCAACTTCAGGTTAGACTGCCCCCAGCTGGACGTTAGTGGCACTGCAGAGAGAAGTATGAACATTATTGTAGACGTGGTGAGAGAAGCAAAAGGCTCAAAATATTCATCAGACATAGTTCTATATGCACGAATATATTATTAAACATTAAGCACTTCAATGATAGAAAAATGTGTATCATTATTTACAGGAGTACTGGAGCGCAAACATCAATCAGTTACCATTTTTATACTTTTCTTTTTTTCTAAAAAATAATCTTAATAAATAAGTCACTCAATCAAAATCTGCAAATTCTAGCCAGATGAATGCTACATGCTGCCAGAGTGGTGACGTTTTTGTTTGTTTGTTTAACATCCTGAGTTTCTGTGGTTCACTTTGGCACTGACAGGACAGAAATAGTGATCAAGGAAAAATAAGATGAACACCATCAAGCCTTTAACATCACAGTTAGTTGTAACTCAGTTATAAAACTCTGATCTACCATCTCTCCATGATTTCTTTTAAAGTAAGAAAATCAATCAGTGATTGATCCCTCGGGTTGCAGCGTCCACGCTGCTTCTCTACAGGTTCAAATTAGAACCTATTTATGTCACCGGTGTTTTCACACGACCGCCTGTCAATCAGTCCTCCCACCCCCAGCGTAAATTGGTGCAGTGTGAAAACAGCCACTCCCTGTACCCTGTGGCTCTAATTGGCATGGATTAAAGAAGCCATTATATCAGTGGAACTGATCTGAGAGCGGCGGTGCTGATTGTAGGCGGCCCACACTTTTTTGTCCTGCTGAGAAACTGAAGTGTTTCTCTCACTTCTCCATGCTGCTGCTGCTTATGATATGCTGCTGCTGCTAAGGCTGCAGCTTCTCTAGGTTCCACATAGATTCTCACTTCTCTGAGCATGTTCTCACACAGCAATTACCTGCTGGCAGTGTGTGTATAAATCCGGTAATGACTACATCCAGGGACAGATGCAGTGTTAGCGCTTAATATGGCAAAAATGATGGAAGAACAGACTATAAATATAATACATATATATATATATATATATATATATATATATACACATAGTATATAGAAAGGATAATAATTCTGCACTGCAATATATTAATACTACTATTAACTAATCCATTATGTAAGCTAGGTCACTGTTGACCTGCACAGGAATTGTAAGAATTTTTTTTATATGTAATTAATGAAACAAAATCACAATACATATGGTATAAAATGCATTTTAAAAAAGTTAAATAAATAACAGTTATTTTATTTAAACTTTAGTTTACAAATTAATACCTCTACACAATCCTTTTTCAAGATTTTAACCTTTCTTTAATTTAAAAACTGACTACTACTTATTGGCGCTGTTTAGCAGGTGGAATTTCTCGTCTAGAGGGCTCAAAGTTCAGATTCACATTCAGGTCACATAAAAATGAACAATATATTTTACTGCAATCGTGAACACATATATTTCAATGAACTGAAGTGTTATCATTGAGGTAGTATATTGTATTGCAGTACCTTGTCCACCAAAACACAAAACACCCTGCATTTGTCCAAATTGGAATTCAGCAGAGAGTGCGCAGCCACAAAGGTTGTTTGTGTCCCAGTGAGCGGTGATGGTGGGGTGAAGGGTTGTGGGTAAAGCTCAGGGCTGAGGTTCCCAGCAGACTTGGCACGCCTTTTCAACTTCTCGCCATTCTGTCTCGTTTTATTGTGTGGGCCAACCAACCATCCTGTGAAGTCGTGAAACCAATTTATTTAATTGTTTCACCGATGTGTTCACCTTCACGCGTGTCCTTGACGTGCAGGGTTTTCAATGACACAGATCCTGCAATAGAAATATGAACAGTCAGCATAAAGAAATGTATCAGAAAATTTGAGTCTAAACATCACTCAGCACATCATTAAGTTATTCATTACATATATTTATTTTTACTGGCTATTTATTTTGCAATAACTTTCCATTTATAAGTTTTCTTTTGTAGTTTGTAGCCATTGGCATTCAGACAGATGTGGTCAGATCATTAGTCTAGGTTTGTCTACATTTCCTGAACTGACTAATAAATCTTGCCTTAAAAAATCCCCATAGGTTCAACATCGCTTGTAATAATTTAGTAATTTACTAAATATATTTCATTACTTCCACTGAAGAAGGCAACACTTTGATACGGTGTTGTCACCAAAATTCTGTAATTTAAGGCAGACACAACAACAAAAATCCAAGACCAATATGGACTAAAAACAGGAATTCAATAAAATAAATTATAATAATCCAACCCTAGGCGCCGTTTAAACAACACATTTCAAGATAAAGACTACATGGACACTGCAGTCCCTCCCATTCTCGCATGTCACCACAGTTCACACCACTGGTCACTTCCAAGTGTCAAGGACCCCGTGCAGGGTTCGGGGAGGTGGACCCTCAATTAGCGAGCCACGCGTCTATGGAAAAAAGAGGAACTCCACCAGGAGTCCTTAAAGAGTGGCCCCTGTTCACTCGACTCTGACCTCGTCACCTCAGGGTCACAGGCCAAACAATACACTCCCATCTGGAACCGTGTTATCAGCTCTGTGACGGGAAGATCGGACACCCGCCCCTCTGCATTCAGGAAGGACTCAGTGCCGACACTGAAGGCCTGAGAACCTGTGCACTGCTCCTACACAGACACCTCTGAGAACATCCACACAGCCGCATCAATGCAGCCCAGGTCTTTCATCACTGCTGATTATGTGCATCTGTGTTTTTAATTGAGCCGCAACACAACGGAGGAGGGTCTGCACCACGTTACTGCTCACCAGGGGAGCCACAGCAAAACTATAATCCTGTATTTTTGGTTAGTGAGCAGCACTAATGTGAACTGCTTCGCTGCCCTGCCTGGTGCTGATAGAGAAGACTAGTTATTGTTGTGTTCAGCATTAAGAGAATTGCACCTGCAGAATTCCGAGTGCTGAAAAATGATGGGTGCATTTATTAACTGGGAAATATTCTCATGTTTACATATACATGGCCTCAATTTCTGTGTTATGTGATTTCATGCTTAGACTTACAAAATCGTATTTCTAAATAAATATCAAAAGATATCCCATTAACCCCAATTAAAATGTTTAATATTTTCCAGGAACTAAAAGCTTCCAATTTATATCAGTCACTCTGCAACCAGGTTAACTCCCTAATTTACATTATTTCACCATCAATTGAATTTAATAGAGCAACTATTTGCTTAATTCATCACATCTGTGCCACTGTGTAGCTTATACATTTAGTGTTGGTGTTTGATGTTTTTACCTAAGCAAACAGACAAAAAAGACGTGAAAACCTGCCTTTATGTTTACACACATTTACTTAAGCACTAGAGTAAATTCCGATCGCTGAGACAAGTTGATATAAGTCTAAACCGTCACTGATAATCATTGGATACTTCAACTAGGACCAAGGCCACCAGACATACTGTCGGTTTACGTTCAAATGACAATAACTAATGCTTTGCTGCCACCTCCTGGCTGAATGTGCATGTCAGGCAAACAAAACTATCGTTTACTCGCAATAATTATAATATTCCATCACTTATTGGTAAATACTCTTTCGAAATATACTTTTTTAAACTTTTACAACATAAACTTTATCACAGAAGGTCGGTAATTGTGTTTTTAAACAGTTTCTTTCACTACTGACGTTTTATACGCTCACCTGCCTCAGGTGTTTTAGTTACAAATATCGACAAGCAAATATCTTGTTTGTTTCCATACTTAAAACCTTAAAATTTCACTGTAACCTACTTTTACAGATACTTACAAGAATGTTATCCCTCATTTCACTTCGTGCTTGTTTGTTAGTAACAAATTATTACACTGCATGTCCTCCTCTACTGGCATGATGAAACACAGGTGACGCAAAATGTCGCAAAAAGTCGTAAACAGGTTTTAAGCGACCCGCGGCCATTAATGCAATAATACAAAAATAATACTTCTACTATTTGAATGTAGAATATATCATTATGCTTTGGTACAGGACAAACTTCGTATAAACGGCGTTGTATTTTTAAAAAAAATTCTGTATATGTTTAGTAGTGGTTGTTTTCTGTCAAACGTACTGTTACCTTTCTTACTGTATAAAAAATGTTACAACTACAAATACAAATGCCAGCTTTAAAATAACCGAATGTTAATAATAATGTTTAGAATAAATTGTATCCAATAAAATAGCTCACACACCACACTGAAGGTAAAATAATGGTTTAATCTTTGCTCTGTTCTACAAAACTTTATTACAACATAAAGCTGATGAACAAAACAGTGTCTGCTGGGGGGAAAAACAGGTTTTAAAAAGCAGACAGCGATCACAGATGTGAAAGCAATTGTATGTACAATATTTGTTGACTTTGTGCTTTGGATTTGGAAGGAAAGCAGGGACAGGACACAAACCTTTACATCACACCGAAACAAATTCATTTTTGGATTCAAAGATCTTCAAATCTTAGCACCATTTAAAAGGTGTTCTTAAAAACACAAGTGGAATGATTATTAATGTAGACGTGTAGCTGGTATAGACATTTACTGCATTTGGGTAAATAGGATTCATCAGATACTTTAAAAAATCTTCTTGCTCTTGGCAGTTACTGCACTGATGCTGAACAAAGTAGGAATGTTTGGTTTTTAAAACACACAGTCTCCCTATTAAGAAATCCATGACTTCTTGTGCCGTCATGTTCTTCAGAAAAGAAGATTCAGTCTATTGTTGCTTTTGTATTAATGTGTTTTTGTTGTTTCATTTTTAGCAGTGGTTGGTGAAAGGATTGTTTTCGTGTGTGTGTCATGTTACAGCAGCAGCATTGAACACAGCAACCTGCTGAAAAGCATGGCTGAGATTTAAGATTTAAAATTTGATGTCCCAATACTGTGGCTTCTCTTTAGTGGTTTCAAACTCATCTTCAAATACTGCCAAGTTGTTGGTCAGTGACATCAGCTCAGACTCCTGGACTGGACCTCCTGCTACTGTAAATCCAAATATACAAACATTATTACCTTTGATTAAATTTCATGTATCGATGTATACCACATGTAGGGTTGTCTTACCAGGGGTGCACATGATCTGTGGCCTCTCCCAAACACCACTGGACAAACACCTGATCAGAGGATTAAGTCTCTGCTGAAAACCATCATTACAGTGATAACGTACGACTGCATTGGTTTCATATCTCTGTCGAACTTTTCCAAATATTGACGCATTTCGTAGTTTTGGCGGTGGACCGCATGATGCTGTAGTGAGAGAGAAGATGTAGGATTACAGATTAAGTACAATGAGTGTGTTCAAAATTATCTGCCAACAAAGGATACATTACACAAAACTCATTAGCCACAATGGCTAAAATTAGCCCAAGACTGAGGTATTAGACATAGGCTAAGTAAACATCATCCAAAACAAGCTAAAGCAAATGCACTTGATGAGAAAAACACTACAAAAAATGGATGCTGAATCCATTAATAGGCAGTTCAAAAATAATTATTTTTAGGTTAATTCTGATTATAATACCCACAGGTGCCTTTCTTGCAGGTGTAGGACAGGTGATAATTACAGGGCACATCACTCCAGCGTCCATCATCATGCCACACCATCACCACACAGTCTTCCCCAGAGAGGAAGTAGCTGTCTGGCTGTCCTCTGTACCAGTTCTCATAGAGCTGTGAAAAAGAAGATTATTTGTTACAACTATGACACTTTTGTTTGTTGTACAGCATTAAATATGTAAATATGTCCAGCCTAGTTCCTCATACCACTCACCAGTGGGTTTCCATCAGACCAGCGGAAGTCGTCCTCAATGGTCTTATCATTCAAACCAGTCCACTGGTATTCTTTATAGTTGCCTGGGGAACAATAAAACATCATACTGCAATTAGTTTTTACAAAGCCATAAAAAATTCACACACACAGGCTCTAACAAAGAATTTCCTGTACGTCTGGAACAGTGGGACCTACTGTTGATGTAGCTCTGCTCCTCTGGGGTCATGATGGAAACCAGGTGAGCTCCCAGCATGCGGCAGTGCTGCTCAGCTACCTCCCAGCTCAGACGCTGACTAAAGTGACGGTAACAGAAACCGTGAAATTTGTCCCAACTGGGTTCACATCTCTCCAGGTCTGACAGGAAAACAGCAGAGAAACATGAAGAGTGGGGAAAATACACTTTTCATAGCATATAAAATATCATAAATACCATCATAACAACTATCATGAATGCATATTTATATAGAGATAAGGTAGAAGTAAAGATACTAAGAAAAGAAAACCCACCAGTCTGACAGAGGGTTCCTCCATATGAAGGCAAACAGAGACACTGAATCTGCCCGTTAAGGTCTGTACAAGTGCCTCCATTCTGACAGGGGTCATTAACACAGACGTCTGTAACACAAATGGTCAGTTATTATAACGTTTTCTTGACAAGTCAAATAAAGAAAAATAGAAACATATCTGAAAATAAGCAACTCCAAATCCTCTATCTTCAAAGTGAAATAATGTTTCATGTGAACAAAAGTTTAAGTTCATGTTGCAGGACAACCAACAGATGGCAGCAGAGGACATTTTAATTTCCAACCCCTCGTTTTTCCCCCCTTTTGTTCCCCTCTCAGGCAAAAACCTGCAAAAAAGATCAGACTAGATCAGTCTTAAAAAAATTTTTTTTTTTCAAAACTGGAGAAAATGTCCAGCTAAGTCTGTGCAGAAAACTGAAAATCTTTGGTCTTATGTCACCTGAGACATTCATTAAGACAAAAATAGCACTAATAATAAAAATCACAACAAAAATAAATAATACATTTGCAAGTAAAAAGAATGACATTTAGTTAGCTAAAAGGTAGCTAAAAGTTAGCCAAAAGTAGTAGCCACCAGTAGTAGCGACTTACAGTACAATAATAATAAATCATCACTATATATCATCCCAAAAAATATTACACCCGTATTATTTTAATTTTCTATTCTCTTGCTGAAGAACAATAGATGAATATATATATATATATATATATATATAAACCAAATCTGTGACAAGGATGTGAAGAAAAAACAGTGGTTGGAGTTTCACTCTAATTTTCTAAATTTGTAAAAGTAGGCAAAGTGATGGCATGTGTGTCAAACCCAAATTAAACATTTTACAAGGGGATTTGGTTTGTTTCCCCTTGACACCCTGTAAACAGGAACTCTGTGGTGTCTGTCATTACACTCAGCACCAATATAGAGCTATTTAGACATTTCTCCTCTAGTTAGCCCGTGCATTAAGGTAATAACTGCCTTACACATAATGAGAATCACATGCAGTCAAAGTGCTGACAAATACACAATGGGTTGATGTGATAGAGCTCAGGTTTGGAGTGTGACAAAACAGAGCTGTGTGCTGCTCTTTGTACAATAAATAAAGTTATTCTTGACACAATGGTTAAAAAAATCTATATTTCACTCTTTTATCTTGATGAAGTATGGTGATAGTTCCAGTTTGAAATATTTAACAAGTTTTAAATATTTAATATCTAAGTAAATTTCAAATGTAATAAAAAAAAAAAAGGTAGGGAAAATGTTGTTGTTCAAATACCCAGTTGTATTTAACATTTTTTACTTCTAAAGAAGCAGAAACTCTACACATTGTGTGGTAATAACAGAACATGTCATGACTATGAATCATTACATAAAACAAATGTGATGGTAAATGCAACAGTAATGTCTGTGCCCTGAAACATAAATATTAAACGTTGTGCTTTGGTTAGTAGCCTAAAAAGGACATAACTGAAGGTAATAAATTAGAAAAGTATTATTGCAAAGTTAGCACTTTTGCATTCAACATATTTGCTGTAACAGAGATAGGCCGAGGCCAATTGTTATGTCACATGCATATTAACAGCGTCAAAAGAAGTATGAAGAATAGAATTCACAATGTTGTGGATTACCGGCTAAATTTCAGGTTGAATTCCTTCAAACATGGACTCGTCAATCTGTTTTCTACTACTTCACAGAAGTCAATATTTGATCAAGGAGGGAAAAATCAAAGCATGCACGCTGAGACAGGAGTGTGGGACAAATGCCAGGTGGGAGTTGTTCCAGTGTGAGTATCCTGACAGAGGTGAAAGGAACACAAGTGGGGAGTCACAAAGGTGAGGGGGGGATTATTGAGACAAAGGGGAAAAAATGTGGGAAGTCTCCTGAAAAAGGACACAAAGTGTTTGACAGAGAATTGTGCTTTAGCAGCTGAGGGCACAGGACAGACCAGGGATTTTAGTGCATCACTGACTTGATGAGCAAAGGAGGACGGTTAAGGTGATGAGAGTGGCTGTAATGTTACCTGAAGTTTTCCCTGCACCTCCTACAGCTGCCCGCTCACTGGGCATGATAAGTATGGTGGGTGGTTGGGTGGGACTAGGCTTACTGTCGCCAACGCCTGGATCCGTTTGTGATACGAGGCTTGTCACCTTCTGGGGTTCTGATGTCTTGTGGTAAACTCTTGGCGCTGAGGTGGTGGGGCTCCAGGCACGTTTGGACCAGTGTGTGGTGGTTGTGATGGTGGTGATTCTGGCAGGTTTGGTAGTTAAAGAGGAACCAGCGGCTACTGTTGCTGAGGTAGCAGACGGAGTCTTCCTGCCATTGGTTGAGAGATCGTTGAGAGATTCTGTGGTGGTGGTCAGCAGAGTCCAGTCAGAAGTTTGAGATTCTGGAGGAAAGACAACTGTGGAAGTAAAGTTAGAGTTTTCCTCTAACGTTAAGGCAATGTTAGCTTCTTCCTCAGAAGTCAGGTCCACTTTGAACTCCTCACTTGTCGAGGAAACATTAGCTTCAGTTTCAACGTTGCGTTCAATGCTGCTTTCTTTTAGAGTTGTGAATGCAGTGGACTTTTCAAGAACTGCTTCCTCTTCTAGAGTTTGGGTTGTGTTCATTTCATCTCGTAGAACTGTTGCAAAGTTGGTTGGTGTTTGGGCAGCATGTGTCACTTTTTCAGTTGCCGGTGAAGCTGTAACCCCTTACGATGAGACGGACACCATTGTTTCATCCAGGAGAGATGGGGTACCTGAAATGTCTTCTTCAGTGGTTGGAGAAACTTTGTCCTCCCTTTCTGGTGTAAAGGAAAAATCAACAGTTGGAGAAACTTTAATTTCATCCACAAGAGTTTTAGAAGGTGTATCGTCTTCTCCGAGGATTGCAGTCACTGCAGCAGGCTCCTGTCCACTTGCCTCTTCATAAGCAAGAGTTGCAGTTTCCCAGTACACTCTGTATCCTGATGTCCGAAACAGCACTGAACTGGAATCAGTTGGTTTCTGAGAACTTTTTGACTCATCGACAGTGACGTTTGCTTCGAAAACGAGGTTGTCTTCAGCCATAGTTGGTTTTGGTGGTTTTTCCGTATTTTCTGTCGTGACAAAATCTTCTGATTCTAAACTGGTACTTCCCTCCTCTTTAGAAATACCAGAGTCCCACAGTTGGGCTGCTGTGGTGTGATTGGTGGAGTCCAGTCTCTCAGTGGTTCGTGAGCCGGACGTGGTTGTCACATCCGTGACTGCAGTCACTCCGGATTCAGCTGACATGCTGCCAGGAGAAGCAGAAGGTGACAGGTGAGAGGTGAACCCAGTGGTGGGAGAATCAGGTGAGGTGGTGAAAGTGACGGCTTCAACGTCGAGATCGACCTCTGAAGAAAAAAACACACACATGATGCACAGAAGACGTTAGAAAGTTTCTGAATATATTCTGCATCATACAAGTGTTTTCAGTCATAAAAGCTGCAGACATTGAAATTGCAGTGTCTGTAAACAACTTCTGGATAAATTACAAAGACATTTAAAGAAACATTTATCAAAGAACACATTTTATTCATGTTTCTTGTAGTTCAAACATAGACCACAAACACAGTAAACAAACTTGATTTCTAACCTTGAGAAACTCCTCCAGATCCATCAACTGACACCCAGTATGGTGAAGTTAGGTCCTTGGAGGCATCTTTGGAAGTTTGCGTGCGAAGCTCTTCTTCTAGGCTTGTGGACTGAGTTGACAAAGACATTGGTCCAATCTCTGAGACTGTGGTCTCCTCCACCTTTGCTTCAAACATGTTGTCCAAGGGGATTAGAGTTGCCTCCAGGATATTCTCCTCACTGGTATCATTACTGTTGCTTTCGCTGTAACTGCCTCGGGACTCGTTCAGATGCAAAACTGTCTCTCGTTCTTCTGGAGAATATCTCTCTGTTGGCTTTGTTTGCTCCTCGGGTTGTGTTGCTAGCACCGTTTGGTTCTGTGAATACGGTTCATATGTCACTTCAGGAAATCCGGTTGTGCTTCTGATCTCAAAGGGGTGAACGGTGACCGTGACGTTCTGTTGAGAATCTGTAGCATTGTCAGCTAAGGGTAGTGCTGATGTGTTCTGTGAAATATCATAGGTGTCGTTGCTGCCAATTGTGCTGTTTGTCTGTGCTGTAGAATACAGGGAGGTAAAAATAACATCTGCAGGAGACGACGTGTCATTAAAAGTCTGAGGAAGGTCCATTGGAAATGTGGTGTTGAGGGGAGACTGTGTTGTGTTTAATATATCTGTCAACTGTGTATCGGACAGATTTTCCATTGTGGATGGAGGTGAAACAAAGGCAAAAGACTCCAACACACTTTTAACCTCTCGTTCCACCTGCTCTACGTAGTGGTTTATCAGTTCTTGATCCGTCTGGTTAAGAATCATGACTTCTTTTCCAATGTCTTCAGACACAGGTTCTATGAAGTGAACAGAAGAGGCAGTGGGGGGATCGCTGTTCACTGTGCAGAAAGAAGAATACTCTATTACAAACTTACATTCTGCTTCCATTAGCAGAATACTCTATTACAAACTTACATTCTACATCCATTACATTCCATCACTTGTTTATAACTATTTTAGAACAGAGCTTACTTTTAAAACAATATACATCATGAAGGCTGGTCGGCTCTGGGAAGCCAGTTCGGTTGCTGAAGCGGTAAAGCGTTTTGACTCCTGCCTGAGGCCCTCCGCAGCGCTCCCTTGGGGTTACAATGGGGTAACGCACACTTCCATCAGAGAGCCACCCAGGGCTGCAGCGGTCCAGACCTTCACCCCAGGCCAGGTAGAGCTGCGCTGTTGTCGCCAGTTCTGCCCCTGCAGCTCTGCAGTATGACTGAGCTTCAGCGAATGACAGCTGCTGTGGGACAGGGTCATGGAAAACCTCTCCTGCAAACATTTTGATATTAAAGGTTTAGAATTTTAAAAACCTGAGAATTTTGTAATGTAATGATGAGTTTTTGCAGAGGTGAAAAGTTGTTGAGAAGAGGCCACTGATAATTCCTCTTTATTTTTTTACTTAAAAAATAAATGATTTGTGTTAAGAAAAGCACAATTTGATGTGCGCTGTTTTAAGTGTTCCTCATACATACCGTTCATATGTTCTGCATAACAATACACATCATAAAGATCATTTGGATCCATAGTTCCGTAGTTTCTCACTCCTGGTTGACCGTCCATGTCTCCAAAGCAGGCTTTACGGGGTCTATGGATTGGGTACCTAAAAATAATTATTATTATTATTATTTTTCAAAATATGCTAACTTATAAATATTGTCCAAATAATCAGCAAATTAGTGATCACAAGTTATACATTGAAACCAATAAAGCAGATTTGTAAGGATGAAATCTGGAGTTTATAATGATGATGACTAAAGCTAACATTCTTGTGCAGATTTCAGGTGTTAGCATCATTATCATTATCATCATTATCATCATCATCAGCAGCAGCAGCAGATATACAGTAGACTTGGATACCTGACAGACTGATCTGCCAGCCAGCCTGCATCACACTGCTCATATCCGTCTTCATAAGCTGCCAGCAGCTGGTCCACAGTGGCGATTTCTGCTCCAATGGCCTGACAGGCTCTGTGGGCCTGCTGGAAGGAGAAGGTGTATCTGCCCACAGCGTCTCTGTAGTGAAATACAACACCTAAAATATACAAGAGTATAAGAACAGATTATTAATATGTTTCTATTCAGTATAGTAAAGGTAACACGATTATGTAAAGTGAAATAAAACTATCATTTTTATATTTGAAATATACAGCCCAGAGAGCAACATTAGGAAGAGCAATTATTACATTTCAAGATAATTTGACCCATTTCTGACCCTGCCTCACTGACCTTTGACCCCGTTAGTAACCTGAGCTACAGTGTGTTGCACCCTATTCTAGCCAGCAATTTGTGTGACCTCTAGGGGTCCAAACTAGGCTAATTTATGGAGCCTAGCTCAGGTTTTCATTCAAACACCTTCTGACCCTGCCTCACTGACCTTTGACACGTGACCATTTGTGGGTAAATGCACTGTCTCACCTTTGACCTTTAGTTGCACAATATCACTGGCGTCCTCCAGACCGTGCTGCATCTCACAGCGATAGTAACCCGAGTCACTGGAGCGCAAATCTCCCAGCCACAGAGACAGGTCTTCAGGCGAAGACGTGTAGTTGAGCATCCCTGCACGGTCGCGGTACGCATCGTTGACCTTTACCCTTTCATCCCGAGCCACTAAGATCTGCGTCTCCACTCCACCAGACACCACAGTCCACTTGACTCTCGGTACAACAGGAGGAGAGGAGGGCTGAATGTTGGGGAGTGATGCCAGGCAGTGGAGGGAGATGGAGCTGCCCAGAGGAGCAGACAGTGGACCTGAGTGAGAGATCGCCACCTGGAGGGACTGGGCATCACCTGCAGGAAAAACAAATATGGACGACACAGAGGGAGAGAAGCAGCTCAGATAGATTTGGTAAAAATGTGGTTAAAACGGAGTTTTGACTATTTTCATTAACAATTGAAGCTCAAGGGAAAAATAACACTCACCATATGCAGATAGGGTGTGGGTTGGAAAGGCCACAGTGAGAGGGCAGATTATGCAGAGAAGGGGAAGAACATTTCTGTGGAGAAGGACAAAGAGTTTTCATGTGATTTTATACAGAATAAAAGTTGTTTTACCCACATTTTTTATTTCCACATTCATTTCTCAGTTCAAAAAATTGACAAAAATCTGGATAAAAAATATTACTTCCCTTAAGAAGTGGGACGCACAATAGCACTGCACAGGATTGGACTGAGGTTTGATGAGAACAACCTACAACCTTCCTGTGTGTTAAGTCACTTGGAACAACTTGACGAATGCATTGGTTTTCTTTTTGCAATTTCACACACATTTAACTTTTAATGGTCAAAGCAAATGGAGCAGTGAAATGTGATGGTTTAGCAGGGTGAGGGTGGGGGGAGGTCATTAATAGTCCAGTAATGTTAAAGGTCACAACCTGCAA